CCAAAAACCTTTGTAAACACTGACATTCGAATTTTATTAAAGTTTTGCATCACTAATTCTTCTTCTTCTGGTTGCTTTCAACTATTTAAAAAGTGAAAAATCATCCTTAACTCAAAGGCCATATGAAAGCAGGTAGCTATCTTGCCTCACATACATGAGAAGGGCCCAAACAGTGATGCGTGCAGACCACGTGGTGGATCAGTGTCCATTCTCTTTCCCTAATCTTCTTCTTCTTAGTTCCTATCAACCCAGAAAGTGGATATTTTGCTCTGTCCCCAGCAGATGAAGCCAGGAATAGGGCTTTAGCAAAGAGTACTGCACTTTCCTTAATAAACATGGCCCTGTTGGTCCCAAGGAGACTGGGGATTTTAGGTCAGTGTCTCTGCAGCTTTGACAGACCGACCCCAGGGGCCTTGGTCAAAGGTACAGGTCTAGGGAGAGGCCTGAGATCCTGCCTTCTAACAGGCTCCTGGGTGAGGCTAATGCTACTGGGTCCATGGGTCAGGTCCCCTCTAGGAACAGCCAGCTTTGAGAGCAAACCCTCTGTGTCCATAAACACAGTCAGCTGTGTCAGGCACTGTCTTCTGAGAACAGCATCCCTCAGGCTGGATAAGGGGCTCCCTGGAGACACGGCAGGGTTCAGAACAAGTCAGCAGATCCCCTCTCCAAGGCAGCAGTGCGATGACATAAACGCAGGGAGGAAGACAAGGAGGGGCAGAGACGAACAGCAAACACAGGAGGCCTGAGCACAAGCCGTCAGCTGCTTCCGGCCACAGCTGACCAGGCCCCCCCGGCCCCGGGCAGGCAGGTGCCCCTCCTCCCACACCTGCCAGGGCTCTGATGGACCGAGGCAAGAGGCCTATTTCCCTCATCAGGCCTCTGAATAACTAGGGCGCTTCCACAAGGTCACCGTCATTCATTTAAATTCCAGCTCTAATCAGCAGGCTGAGCCACAGAAATTATCCCTTCGGAGCAGAGATGCTGTCAGTGAAGCACTATAAACAGCCCACTCCCCCCGGTACCCCCCACCTGCCCCAGGGAGGGAGAGGACTCGAGGAGTCTCCCATCCACAGGCCCCAGCCCTGCTTCCTGCCTCCAAGGTCCTCCGTCCACCCGGTCCTCCTCCTCACCTCCAAAGCACTTCCTCTCCCCTTGGCAGAGAGTTCTAGAACAACAGGAAGTGGGGAGAGGGCTGAGAGTTTGGCAGAGCTGGGAGGGCAGTCCAAAGACAAACCCTATCGGCCAGGCGCGTGGGATCAGCATCTGATAGGAGTCCCTTCAGGGCCACAGATGGGGTACATGCCCTCGGAGATGTCACCCTCCCTGGGCCTCCGTCTCCTCCTCTGAAAAGTGAGAGAGTTGCAGTCCTCAGATAGGATGCCCTTGGAGCTCTGACGTGTCTCAAGACCCTGCAGACCCACAGTGCCCCTGGGGCTTGTGGCCATACTATCTGCTCGAGAAATATTCCTGAGGCCCTCCTATGGTCCATGCACCACCGAGCAGAGTTGGGAATGCAAAAACGTCCGAGATGCACACAGCTCTGCCTTGAAAATGCCAGAGTTTTCAAAGAAAAAGGCACAGGCTTTGGAGACAGACAGATCTGAGATCCTGATTGGTCCTAGCAGCCGGTGACTGTGAGCAGTTACTGGACCTCTCTGCGTCTCCTCGTCTTCTCCTGGAGTATGGACCCCGAGCCGGAGGGGCTGATGTGAAGAGTCAACCAAAGAATGCATGGCAGGCATCAGAGCTGCGGGTTCCTCCCCTCCTTCAGGTCAGCGCACCGCAAACGCCTCTTGCCACTTCCTTATCTTGAACCTCCCTCCCAAGGACTAGGAGGAGGGGCTGTGCATTTTCCCATTTGGAAGTCCATCCGAATACCGCCTGCCTCCTTCTCCTACCAGGACACTCTCTCTGAGTCCACAGCCCACCTCCTGGACCTTAGGAGCAGTGCCAGGACCCTTCTCCAGCTGTATTTTACAGGAGGGTTACTTCTAACCAATCTCCTCATCATGTAGAATTAATCAATTAATCAATTGTCCCTTTATAGTCTTCCAGCGGCCCCTGGGTAAATAGTTACATTAGCTCATAAAAACCCCAATTTGTCTTCCTAAGGGGAAGGAGGAAAAAATAAAATAAAATCAGAGAACCACTAAAGGCCTCTTGTTTCAGAGCCGCAGCCCCACTGGCTCCAGATGGCCTGGCCAGGAGCGCAGAGAGGCGGGAGGCGGCCCGCTGACCTCAGCCAGGGCCGCGCAGTGCAGGCTGCCTCCTGCCACCTCCAGGGCTGCGAGCGAAGCTTCTTGACCAGTGATTTGCTTCTGGCTCAGAAACCACACACACACAAAGCTAAGGTCAGTAAGGAGGCCAAACTGGCAATCAGCTCTTGACACTTCAAGGGTAGAATGGAGAAGGGTCAGAATTAGGCTGGAATCCCCCACTTGGCCGGGGGACTCAGCTCAGGACTTCACCTCCTGGCCTCAACCCCCTCAACAGAAAAACGGGGCTCAGGCAATGTGCCTCAGAGGGTTATCAAGAGAGCAAGACAAGATAGTGGCCGTGAGGCTGAGATAGTGCAGCAGTGTGCTAGCGATCGCTGCTATTTCTAAGGTAGGCTCACGGGTGACCTCTGCCCCTTTGGAGAGATGGAGGGAGTGCCTATGGGTCCATGGTGTTTCACCCCACCAGGGCCAGTGTGGCACCTTCTGTGAGAATTACGGAGAGGTGTCCCCGGGTCAGAGGCTGCCCTCTGGGTGCAGGCGTGGCAAAATGCAGGTTGGGGTTTGGCCTCCACGCATTACCTGATCTGGGAGTGGCTATGCAGGACCTAAGACACACAGGTCTAAGTGAAGACCCTGGGTCATCTCTGCTGTGAACCAGGAAGAGAAGGGGTTCAGCCAAGTGGCACTCAAAAAATTTTGGTGTTGGGCTTACTCCCTCATTTGAAGTATCCTAGAAAACATCAGCTTAGCAGAGAGACCTCCCTGGACCACCCTCTTTAAATTAGCAACTTCATTTTTACCTGCTTCATTTTTTTTCCACAGCACTTATTCCCCACCACCTGATACAATAGATATGCTGATATATATACATGTACATATACACACACACACACACACGTTTTTAGTTCCCCATGCTATGCTGTCCTTAGTCGCTCAGCGTGTCTGACTCTTTGTGGAGAATCCTAGGGATTCTCCAGGCAAGAATACTGGAGTGGGTAGCCATGCCCTCCTTCAGGAGATCGTCCCAACCCAGGGATGGAATCCAGGTTTCCTTCATTGCATGTGGATTCTTACCGTCTGACCCATGAGTACTGGAGTGGGTAGCCTATCCCTTCTCCAGGGGATCTTCCGGACCCAGGAATCAAACCGGGGTCTCTTGCATTGCAGGCAGATGCTTTACCAGCTGAGCTACCAGGGAAATGCTTTAGTTCCTTGTCTTCCTCTATCTATAGTAAAAGATCCATGAGGACAGGGATGATCTTCTTTTTTTTTCACTGTTTCATCCCTAGTGCCTAGAACAGCGCCTGGTACATTGTAGGATCTTGATAAATACTAGCTCAGTGAGTGACTGAACTAAAATATTACTAAATAGAATAAAGTTAATGATATCTTCCTAGAAAATTCTGTCCTGTGCTCTGGTTCAAACTCTGCTTGTTTTCAAAGGTGGGTGATAGGCAGAAGACAACAGAGGCAGGGAAACCCTGTGTATTTGCTAGGGATGACAATATTATCCTTTTATGTTGTGTAAGATGGCATAGAGATCAATGATCAGAAGTGCCACTTAAGTCTGGGTGTATCTTTTACATACTCAAAATCAACAAAGGATAAACTCCTTTGGAAAGGGTGCTACAGATAGAGTCACATTACCTCTGAGCAAAAATAAATGATAGTCCTATTAGGAGATACTTACGAGATCTTCAAGTGAAGAAATTCAGGGATGAGACCCCACGTGTTCCAATGGAGTATGCATGGCTTTGCAGTCTGAAAGCCCCAAGTTCAAACTCCAGTCCTCTGACAAGCCCTATGATCTTGGACAAGCTGCTTAACCTGTCAGGCCCTATATTTCCTTCACATTAAAATGTATTTAACAATACTTCTCCTGTATTGATGCTATGAGAATTAAATGTTAAAAAGATTAAATAAGAAAATAAATGTGAAAATACCTAAGAAAGATGATACCCACTTCTTATTTGGTAGGGTTATTCTTCTTAACACAAAGTTCTATACCATTTAGGATGGTGGGAAACCACCAGAAGTCACCTGATAACCATTTATCTATAAATTGTTGTATGAGTCTATGTTTGTGTGTATACATACATCTGTCTATAAACACACATTGCTTACAATTAGGACTCTGGATGAATATTCATTTGTCCATTGATGAAAATGACAAGAACCATTATTCTTTCTTCTACTTTTCACTCATTCATTCTTTATTTAAACAGTGAACATGTACTAGTTATATAACCATTAGAAAAAAATATTGCTTTTTCCATTGTGGAAAAGTAAAGTCATTTCTTAGAATATAAAGAAAGAAACCTTCTTTTACCCACATCATATTTTCCATGCTAAGTATGTCATATTTTCAACTTTTAACCACTTGAAGCTATAAAATAGTAGCTTAAAGATAAGTAGATTTTTGAAGACAAGGCAAAAATGCTTACTAAATTGGAGAATACATATTCTAACAATATATTTTTTTTAAATTTTCAAAAAATGCTCAATTTCCACTTCTTTTCTTCACCCAGAAATATTAATCAGAAGATAGTAATTGTATAAGCATGGGAACCACATTCCTTTGGTTTGAAAATGGTTCTTCAAAGCCAATACAAATTCACCAATTGAAGGCATGTCTTATAAACCTAAATCAATGAAAATGCAATGCATTTAGATTTTTGCTCTGTGTAGAGTCCCTAGAAAAAGGTCTCACTCAGAGTCAAACCATGCACAATCTGGCAGAGGGGAAATTTCCACAGCAGCTGTGCAAACACAAAAACTCACCTGGACCTTGACTGACATCTGTGGCAGCATTTTCAAAGGGAAGGAAACAGAGAGGAGAGAAAGAGAGAGAAAAAGAAGAAGAGTGTTAGCAACGCACACACACAATGCAATGTGCCCTTGCATGACTATCAAGTTCATGCAAGACCTCAAAGATGCTCAGAGTCTGAGCATTCAGTTCTACCTTCACCCAGAAACCACCCATGCAAGCCGAGGGACCAAGCTCCCTTTCCACTATGCATGTATCAAGAGAGCTGAACTTCACATCTGTCCGGAAAGACATCCTCCGAGAATCAGATAGGGCTCCAAAGAGCCAAGCAGACCAGGATCCTGTAAGAATATTGGTTAAAATATTCTGGTTGATTTCCGCATACCCACACCTGAACAGTTTTCCTCCCCTCCGGATGCAGAACACTGGATGAGAAGTCAAGCAAGGTTTCTGCACAGAGAGAAAAATAGTGATAAACCACTCCCTCAAGGAACAAAGGAGAAGAGGTATAAGAATCAAGAGCAAGTTGCGGCGTCGTTCAGCTCACAGGACTGAAGGACACAAGGTCACAAAACATTTATAATTCCCTCCCGACCCAGGATTCCCAGTGACCATTCTTCATCACAGATAGTGGTGTGTGTGCATGAGATCGCGTGTGAGTAGGTCATTTGCCACACAAATTGAAATTCTGCCTCTCCCTTTCATTTTTCTCCTTGCTTTTCACCCCATCATTAATGACAGAAATTGCCATTGGAAATCACTTCTGACAACTACAAATAAACATCCAGCTCTGGGAAGGTTGACATTTGAATTAAACCAATGAGCTTTCAAAAAATGAAGAACGGGTTCATGCCCACCATCTCCATGAACACAATCTCCTCCTCCTCCCCTCAAATGTAAAACAGAATTATGCTGGGGAAGCCCAACCCAGAGCAGCCAAAGCCTTGTTGTTAATAGAATCCCTAGACCTGAGCTGGTAAGAGAGCCTATGTCTCAGAAGCAGCAACGGGGCTACTTCAGGAAACCACTGGCCATCCAGGCCATCCTGGGTGACTCCCCTTAGAATCATTGACAATGGTGGGTCTGGGACATCCATAGATGTTGTCTAGTTTAATTCTTTTTTGTTAAGATGGAGGATGAAAGAGGTTGAGAGACTTGTCCAAGGTCACACAGCTAGTTCAGGGAACAGATCCTAGGAGAGGCCCCGGATCCCGTGAATCCCACCCAATCCAGACTTCATTCAACTGAAATCCACGTCTCTCCAGCGTGCATGTGACTCCAATTCAGTATGCAAGCTCAAGTGAGCCCCTGAAGCCACAGGGAAGGAGGTGAGAGACTCCCAGATACCCTACGAGTGGGTCGCAGGTTATCCTCTGTACCTCTAACTTGTGGCTAATCAGATTTGCTAAATTCCAGCAGGTTCTTTGGGCAACGGGTTCTTTAGGGCTTTTGCCCCCAGGAAAATCCAGGCACTGGCCTAACCCACAGCAACAGCTGGGCATTTCTCCAGCCCACGCTCTGCATTTCCTGAAGGCTGTATATTCCCAATGAAACTATAGAGAGCTCTGAATCATTCCTCAGCCACACCCCCTTCCAGGTTTCCTGGTGAGTTGTTAGATTGAGGGGTGGAGTAGTAGCAAGAAGGAAGAGGCAAAACAGAAGAGGTGGGAAGGGAAACACGCTGCATGAATAACTAAGCCATTTCATTAACCGTGACTGACGGACTGCCCAGAAGAGTGGCCACTAGAATACCCCATCATTAAACAGGGTATCAAACTGTTTCAACGTGGGAGAGTTCGGTGGTGAAAGGGTCAACACTGTTATTCACAGAAACATGCTCTCTGAGGACACCAAGACCCAAGGGAGATAGGATATCTTGGAGCCCCAAAGTTCATTCGACACTAATTTGCCTATTTGGGCACCATAGTTACAATCCTAAATTATGGAGACAGATAGTCCAAGTTCAGATCCTGACCCACTCGATGACCTTGGGTCAATCATTGAACTTCTGAGTTGTTTTCTTCAGTTATAAAATGGGAAGATAACACGGCCTCCCTCATTTAAGTGTTACTAGAATTAAAAGAGATTAAATACTTGTAAACCACTTAACTCAGGACAAGGCAAACACTGCATAAATGTTAGCTGCGCTGATGTTATCATTTTGAATTACCAGGGACAGAATTACCCAAAAATGTTGACCAGATGGCTCCCTGGAAACATCAAGAGACCACAGGAATTAAGTCATATTTTGTTCAGTGATTTGGGTTCAGCTCTTATGCTTGTGAATGAAGACCTTGCTGCAGCCCTCCCCTCCTGGATCTCTTTCCTCCCTCCCAATCCCCAGCAAGAAGTGGGTCAAAGGGGAGTTCAAAAATTCTAGGTGAGAAGAAGCAGGGATCAAAACAAATTCCTTTGTTATTTCTTTTGTTTTCCCTTGTGAAACCTTAATACGGCCCACTTCTAGTCCTGCACATAAAAAATACAGTATCCCTTCTTGCAAAAGAGGAGCAAAAAGGCCACCAAGAAAAACCTCTTTAGCTGGGGAGGGGGGGGTGCGGTGTCAGGGTCCAAGCTCAGTTCTTGGCTGTGACACCACGCTGGAGGCAGCTCTAAGAATATATGTCCAACTTGAAGAAAAGAGAGACACCGTGTCACTGGCACCTGTTCCAAGAAGCAATGAGCAACCTGAATTTCTGCATTCGATTCTGACCAACAGAATGAAACAGCAAAGGTTTGGGCACAGGGGCGGTGGCGGGAGAGGGGAATAGGGGGTGATTAGAACCTCAACAGTATCCATCTGCTATATGGTCCATCCAGCATCCTTTCCTCCTTCTTTTTGTAACAAGTCCCAACTGTCTTCTGGGAAACCTTGTTTCCCACCCTTAATCCCTGAGGTTTGGTAAAAGATGACCCCCACCCCCACCCAAGGGTAGGCATGCCATTCAGGCCAGGTCATAGCAATCAGCAGAGGGAAAGGGGATCCACAGCTGGATTACCAGGATTCAGACTCAGGCTCTTCGGGTGGCAGGGAGTTTGTGCCAGTTAGAGCTTTCTGCTTGTTCCTTCTCTGTAAAGTGGGTGTGATAACAGTTCCTACCTCCCAGGATTGTGATGAGCAGCTCAGAGCAGTAATGGGCCTATAGAAAGTCCTCAGTCAGTGTCAGCAGGTAAATACTACTACCTTCAAGGGTATTTTATTTTTCAAGCAACCTTTTCTGTGGACACACAGCAAGGAAGGCTGACCTTGGACCCAGCTGGGGTGTCAAATTCCATGCCTTGCGACCACCCCACTTCCAAGGTGATCATCACCAAAGCACCTCTGTCTGTCACTGCTATGGGTACACAGCCTGGAGTCTGTGTGTGAGGGAGCAATATGGGGCCCTGGGACGGATCAGAGGAAACATACATATATGCAAATGTGTGTATCTCAGTTTTTTTGGTAGATGAGAAGTGGGGGCAATCGGCTGCAGATAGGACAGTTGACAACCAGATGAGCTCGCTCTAGGAAAGGTGGCATCCTCTCTGGTGCCAATACCCCCTCGGTTCCCTCCTGCTGTTTTATTTCCTCACACTGCTGGGCCTGTAGTTTTCCAGAGCACCACTGCATTTAAATCTATATTCTATTTTCTCTCCTAGAAAATAGGTCAGACCCAAGGCAGAGTTCACCGGGTGGGGTCCCAGGAGGTTTGGCTGGGCCACGCCTCCAGGAACTTGGCTGGGCAGTCTGCCCCATGCTCCCCAAAGCTCCTCCAGGGGCGTGGGGTGGGGGGTTGGGAGGTATAAAAGCAGCAAGTGGGGGAATCTTGGACTTTTACTCTTGAAATGATCTTGCCCAAATGCGAGGTGAGGTGGGAGGGCTCCCCCCACCATTGAGCTATTTTCTGCAACAGCAGCAGATGGAGGGTCCTTTCTTTCCCCTACCTGGTTATAAGAACCGGAGCTCCCCAAACTGCAGGAAATTGCTTCCTTTGAACTTTAAAATAATCATGCTGAGCATATGCACTTGTAGCTGAGATTATTGTTGAATACACAATAAGCGTTCATGGGGGCACTGGGTACAGGTGGGCCTCGCCTCATTTATTTCTTCCCTGGTTGTGATGCCAAAGAGAGGGGGTGAAGGGAGACAGTAGCTTTCAAATCCTTCCTCTCCTGTGCCTCGCCCATCCCTGGTTTGAACATGGCAGCCCAAACAGAGGTGGCCCCAGGCTGGACCAGGATCCTTTTCATCAAGATCCCCCACCCCCAACTATTTCTCAAGCACCTGCTACGCACTAAGGTCAGTGTGAGTGCTAGAGCTTGGAAGCCAGAAGGAGGGAGGTGCCATTTACATGGGCCGACTTTCAATGCTCTTGTCAAACAGCGTAAGTAACTAACATGAATTGAAGAGGTCCTGCCTACAGCCTATGAATTTGTTATTCCTCTGCCTGTCTGAACAGTCTTTGTCAGACATGGCTAAGACTTCCTCATTTTCTTCAGATATCAGTTCAAATGTTACTTCTTAGAAGGATATTCTTTAACTACCTTCTCTAAAATAGAAAGCCTCCTCTTCCATTTATGTTTTGCTTTTTTTCTTATGGCACTAATCACTGGCTGAGTGCCAAAGAATTGATGCTTTTGAACTGTGGTGCCGGAAAAGACTCTTCAGAGTCCCTTGGACTGCAAGGAGATCAAATCACTCAATCCCAAAGGAAATAAGCCCTGAATATTCGTTGGAAGGACTGATGCTGAAGCTGAAGCTCCAATACTTTGGCCACCTGGTGCAAAGAGCTGACTCACTGGAAAAGACCCTGATGCTGGGAAAGATTGAAGGCAGGAGGAGAAGGGGACAAGAGAGGATGAGATGGCTGGATGACATCACTGACTCAATGGACCTGAATTTAGGCAAACTCAGGGAGATAGTGAAGAATAGGGAAGCCTGGTGGGCTGCAGTTCATGGGGTCACAAAGAGTTGGACACAACTTAGCGACAGAAAACAACAACTATTTGATATTACTGGATGGGTCTGTTTTTATTATTTATATCCCCCTTAGGA